TGTACCTCATCAGCTTATTGATCCCGAGTTTTACTCTTTCTAATAAGCATCTTTTGAGGCCTTGTGAGCAAACGGGGCAAAGTTTGCTGGAAAATCCGACTGTACATTAAGCATCCTTTCAGACACCCATTAGTGACCCAGTCTTGTCGCGATATCGTACACTACCGACGGTCTGGAAACAGGGTAATTTCTTTGACCGTTTTCACTAATATTGCCAAGATGATCTTCGATCATCCCCTTTCCCCTGTCAGGGCAGGCCATTTTGAGTAACTGTTTCCTTGTACGAGTTACACAGTCTCGAAAATGGGACTATGATTTGAGGATAAATTTAAGATGGTAACCCTAATTTATATAACATACTGTTAACCATATAGGGTTTAATCAAATCAATAAACTTAGGTAGAAGACCCTGCGGGAATAAAATTATATTGATTTGGATAACCTGCAGAATGGTAACTAGCATTTAACCCCCATTTTTCATTTAACACCCCAGTTAGGAAAAGAACATATTAAGTAAAAAGAATTAGTAGCAAAACGAAAGCCATTGCCTGAAGAAGAAATAGAACCACCATCCATATTCCATACTGCTAAAGCAAGAGGAGTCAAAAAGTCTTTAATATTTCTCGGGACTAATTTGATACCTTGATGGCAGCATATTCTCACACCATTGCCCATTTTTGGGCATAACCATCGCCAAGCAAGGATCCAATAATTACACTCACAACCTCACCGCCAGTGGACCAATACGATTAGAAGCTTTAGTTTTAGGGCGACTAAAAGGTAAAACCATCTTAAATTTGAGACCATCAAACCATTTTAGGCACGTTTCAGTGGTACCTAGAAAAGCGGTAACAATCATAACTAGGAATATTGCCACGCCTATAGACCATAGGAGCACTCTAGGTTTGCGATATGAGCCATAATACAAGCCTTTGCCCATGTGAATGTAAACAAAGACGAAAAAGAACGCAGCACCGTTAGCATGAAGGTTACGGATTAACCAACCACTTGGAACGTCTCGAACGAGGTGCTCAACAGAAAGAAAGGCTAGATCTGTGGACGCCGAGTAATGCATCGCTAGTGTCACCCCCGTTACGATCTGTAGGGCTAGGCAGGTTCCTAACAGTGAGCCGAAGTTCCAGAGATAGGAGATATTCGAGGGTGCGGGAGAGTCGATAAGATAGCTATTAGCTAAAGTGAGCAAAGGGTGGGCTTTAAGAAGCTTCACCGTTATCACTAATGAATAGAAATTAGGTGGAATAACCACAGAGTGTGGGTTTTGCTTATGGTATAAGGGTGCAGTTTGCACAGAATAGTTGACTCTATAGTTTATAAGTTTGAGGTTGCATACAGACATTAACACAACCTAGAGAAACTCTAATGAGGGGGGAATTCCAAATAAATTAGAGGATAAGGTAGATTATCTAAGTAAGACCGGTTGGAATGTATATTCAAGGTAATGAGGCAGCAATTAAGCGTGTATCGGATAAGGTAACAGAATCCTGTGTTTTAACCAAAAAGGATTTGTTTGCTAGATTTAGTTTCTTGGTTGTTTGTGTCAGAATTTGTATTGCGCATCCTACTTGGATACCTCACATAGCGGATATTCTAGAATGTGGTCCTGTGTGTGATACGTTGCTGCCGTTGAGCGGTTTATCCTTAGTTATAATAGTGCAAAAGACATGGAACACATCATTTATATTCTCTCACGGTAGAGGTAACCCACCTATTCTCGGTTGCCAACAACCGGGCCAGGGGTTTAAACTTGCCCCCATACCACGACTGCCTGGGGCCGACCTCTGACCCTTGCCAGGATCGAACTGGCGTTTAGGCAGTGAAGTTGCCTTGTAATTACCACTATACGAAAGGGCCTTAAGAGGGGATACATCAAAGGGGGGAATTTTTTATTAAGAAGAGATAGGTAATTCCGAGTAATGATGGAAAGGGGCCTCAAAAGGAACAGGGGACAATTGGGCAACCAAGCCCGGAGGGCTATAATCGGCCGGAGGCCTCTCAAGGGCTCCCCGCCCTGGTCTTGGAAAGCGTTGAAAGGGATAATACCTTAGTTGCTTCATCAAGGGACTTGTAGAACTGTCCTGTGTTAAAGTGGTACATTTCCTTGCTCATAAGACCTATCTTACTGTCTCCATAGTAGTCTAGTCTGTGGTCAACACCACCCCTCTTAAACCCAGAGTTTACCAAAGATAAGGTTGTTAAAGAGCCCGCCCAGTTTAGGTATCCTTGATGTTACATCCTCAACCACATCTAGTGTCTCTGTAGTCACAGTCTGATTGATGCCGAGAGGTAGAGTAATGATATCATGGTGAGCAAAAGCATTCAGTGCTAAGATGTTTGCTAGTGTTGGCTTTTCTAAGTCTACTCACTTTATCTTTTCATTCACGTTTCCTCACTGGGGTAGTTTTCTAGAGTAGATGTTAGCAAATAAGGAACG